ATGGGGTGCGTGGGGGGGGGGGGGGGCTAGGACAAAACCATGTGTGTATGTATATTATGTAATAGGACAAAAGGACATATATGTATATATACACACACATATATATATATAGAACACCTTCAGGTATGTGGGTTAGGCCTTGAATGTAATACTCGATCAGCTTCTATTGGGGGTCGACCTCTTGTGTGTATTGGGTCGACTGTTTAAAATAGTCTTAATAATGGGTACCAGACGAACCATATTTTTTTAATTCGATTTGACGAGTCATCATCACCCTGAATTTATTTGGTATCAAAATACCTTACAAAGTCCTAATCTCATTAATGAGTCAATTCACAAGAAACTTATTATAAGAATTCAAACTAAAGTTAAGAATTTTTCCAGATCAATCCTGCTTCTCATGCTTTGTCCAACTCGAGCAAAAGGGTGGAATAAAAAGATAGATTGAAATTTGAAATTGTGGATCAAAAAGATAGTGGAATTTAGAAATTTAATGCAAAAAAAAATAAAAAATAAAAAAAACAAACAAACAAACAAAATAATAAATAAAATAAAAATAAAAAACAATGTGGAATTTGAAATTGTGGATCAAAAAATATGCGTGCTCGATGTTAGACAATTGAGCAAATCCAAGATTTCCAAGCAAACTTTGGGATTTTGGCAGTAAACTTGATATTTGCCCAGAATATCTAACTTTAGCCTAGAAAGCTCGAGATTTATCCAACAAATTTAAGGTTTGTCTAGCAAACTTGAGATTTGACCTACAAACTTGTCATATGTCTAGAAGATTCAATATTTTCCTAGAGAAAATTCGTGGTCTTGCTTATCTAACTAAAGATTATGTACAATATCCACTTTGCAATTCCCTTTGAGAGGGGTGAAGATAATCTTAAATATAGAATTTCTAATACATGTAATTTAAGGAAAAGTTATGTGAGCATTCATTCAATTAAATACATTGCTCTTTCCTATGTAAAATGAAAATCTAAGTGTTTTCGGGTTTTGATATCTAATGACTCTCAAGTGATGCTGTAAACGTCGGAATATGAATTCACAGGCTTTGGCCAATGGTGAACTGATTATCAATAATCAAGTCCAAAGGCTGGACCCGAAAACAACGTAGACCGTTAAAAATAGTTTAAGAACTTAATGCTACTCAGGCCCATATTTATTACCTCTTGAATTACTTTGATTCTTAGCCCATTTAACCTTAGTATTGTTCCAACTAAAGCCTAACATAACTCTATATTTGTTGCTTTTACCCTAGCCGTTAGAGTGTTATTTGTGAGGAAAATGGAAGAAAACGTGTGCCAAAAAGAGAGAGAATTTAGCAGCCTGTTTGTGCGAAAAACGTGTGGCTTCCTCTTCATTTTGGCCTCCTCTTTTGTCTTCTTTCATTGTTACTTCTCCTTACCTTTGTGGCTACAAATCATTTTCATTATCTTGTCCTTTATGAGTGAGATTGATAAGCAATCGAAGTGAATATATTGGTTGTGGATTGAAGCCGTTTGCATTGGTTGGTTGATAGGAAAATGTAATGTGAAATTGAACCCTAGAAAGACCTTTACGAAAATTCTTGGAGCAAGTTTCCATGACAATCGGTATTAGAGCTTCAATGTAGTGGATTTGGCTAAAAATTGACCAAAAATTGGCTGAAACGAAGCAGAAAGCAGATTGCGAATTTGCCTAGAAAACTGCTTAAAAACAGACCTGTTTATACAATTTTCAACCAATTCAGAGACCTAGTAGTGAAACGGAGCCTATATTCGAGATGTGCAGGTGGAGCAC